ATAATTATTTGATAATTGGTAATGATCAGAAAAATATTTAATTACCTCTACTATTCCTCCATTTAGGTAAAAAAAGAAAGTACTCTGGCCATTCAAAGTCTGGACGATCCTTCCATTAATAGTTTCCAGGTTCTGTTCATGAAACCAGCACCTTTTTATCGACGTTATGACCATGTTCTCTGGTGTGTATTATGGGTATTCCTTAATCCTCCCATAAATACCAACTCATCAATTTGAAAAATAAATAAATAAAATAGTATCAACATCAAACATTAACTTTTGATAAATTTTGATTGCAGTCTCTTTGACATGGAATCCCTTCAGAAAATGAATGACACTGTTGCATCCAATGAAGAAAAACTTGACAAAATGCAATTCCCTACTTATCTGTCCAAAACCCTTCTATTGAAGAACTTGCAAAAGGGTTTGGGCAAAAGAGTTTCTGAATTTGGAGTTCACATGCCTAAAAGGGCGTCCTGGAAAGTAACAGAAGCTCCTGCCCAATTTTCTGGACCACTTTTGATTGGCATGAACTTAGACTCTGAGCATGCTTACAGCATTGTAGACAAAGGCCCTCCTGCTGATACACCGGAGGTAATAAGATCTTATTTGTGCAGATATCTACCTTACTTTTAATGGAGAATTTAATGGAGTTTCATTTTTCTTGGTTTTGGCAGGCGAATGATTTTAGAAAATTTTGGGGAGAAAAATCCGAGCTTCGTAGGTTTCAGGATGGAAGTATATCTGAAGCAGTGGTGTGGCTATCAGAACAGAGTGTTACTTTTTCTCATAGAAGAATTGTCAATCGCATTATCACTGATTACATCCTTCAGAATAAATTAAGCTTGAATCCCTCTAAATCAGTTGTTTACCTAGCTGATCAAATGGAAGAAATCTTAGCTCTTTCTCAGGTAGACATTAAAGTGATTTTGTTAAAATTCAAAGTAAACTGTTGCCCATTTTTAAAATTTTACTAAAACATAATATTTTCAGGTGAAGCCTTCATCATTTTCTTATGGTTCAGGAGAAGAGGCATCACTAGCAGTTTTAGCTGCCTTAGATCGTCTGTCATCCCAACTCCGCGGCTTGGCTGATCTACCTCTAGATATTAGTGGTGTTCAAGGTTCAAGTCCTGTTTGCCGGTATGCTGATGTTTTCCCTCCGCTTTCAACAGTCCATCAAGCAGGGAAGAAACTTACAAAACCTGGGGAAAATTGTGCTCTTCTTAGAACTGGACACAGGAGTACCATGGCACCTGCTTGGATACCTCCTGTTGAAGGTAAGTTTAAATAAATTATTATACATGTATCAAGGCTTGTAATCTGGTGCTATAAATCATTTCTTTTTATCTATCTTAGTTGTTCTTCAGCTTGCTTTGAGTGGCAAATGGCCAGATGACGCTCAAGCTGTGCGAAGAGTCCGAGCTGCATTCAGTATCAAGGTAGCAGAGTGCCTCAGAACTCAATGTGGACTCACAACTCAAGCATTTCAGAACCATGTTGATGTTATGAAAGATGGATTTGTTTTCCGATTGAGAATTGCATATCAGCGTGAACCTGCATTACTTCGTCAATGTACAATGCCTGATGGAATGATCAAATCAGTTGACTGTAAAGAGGCCCGAAGCCTGGAAAGAGAAACAAATCACCTACCTAAACTAACTAGCTATCTGCATGGGTAAGATTCTTAGTCTAATCTATAAGTATCTTAATCTAAATTGCATGATTTGAAATGAAAATGTTTTTGTTGCAGACTTCATCAACTTCAGCCTGCATTTGGTCCTGCAACTTGTATAGCTAAAAGATGGGTTGCCTCACACATGATACGATGGTCTCACTTTCCAGAGGAGGCTGTTGAATTGCTAATGGCCAGTGTATTCCTGAATCCTGCGCCGTTTTCCCCCCCTGCCCAACCACAAATTGCATTTTTAAGATTTCTACACCTATTGTCCAGAACAAATTGGCATTTGGAACCTTTAGTACTAAATTTCAATAATGAATTGAAAAGTGAGTAAATGACCCTATACAAAAGTTACCGACTTTATGAACAAAGGGTAATTTTATATTTTGCCTGTTTGTATTAATTTTCTTGTACAGGAGATGATATATTGGATATTGAAAGAAGATTTACGTCAGATCGTATTCAGTTGCCTGCAATGTTCATTGCCACTCCGTCTGATACAGAAAATTCTCTATGGACAAAAGAAGCACCCAGCCTAACAATTTTAGCTCGAGTTGCTATCCTTGCTTCCCAGTCTTTGAAGGTTCTTGAGGGGTGTTATTTAACTGAAACACCCCTTCATACTGATATGTGGAAGGTAAGATCTGACAATATGGCTTTAGATATTGGAAACCTCCATGTTGTTATTTACATAATTTTACTTTCTGCAGAAAGTATTTCGGCCGTCAGTAGATTCATATAATCTTTTGATTCATTTACAACCACATATGAATCCGCGGAGGTCACAATGGATTGATGCTAAAGTAAATGAAAATTTGCAATCACTGGCACCATACACTAAATCAAAAGATGAAAAAATACCCGTCACAGGCTATAATCCTATTCAGTGTTATCTGCAAGAGTTGGAGGTATGAATATATTTTTACTGCTAAACATTGCATTGTAACATTGCATGTAATTGTTTTCTAATGCTTTCTCTGTTATCATACTCTCTCCACATGCAGGATGCTTATAGTGACTATGCCCTATTCTTTCACGATGTATATGGTGGCAGTGTAATAGGAGTTGTATGGAAACCACAATCCACTGAACCTAAGGAATTCAAGGTAATGCAGCTATATCTTACAACAATTTCTACAGGGGTTCTCTTTTTACAATTTTGTTAATTTATATGGGTTTTTTACATCCTCTAATAGGTCACTCACATCAATGGTCGGGAACTTAAGAGAAATAATATGAACTCCTCTCAACTCCATCTCAACCAAGAGGCCCTCATAGAAGATTTCTACATATTAGGAGATGGACTTGTCACATCTATTGAACATAACATTATAGCTGGTCAAAAGTAAGGAAGGAAATGGGGTGTAATCGACTTAACATGTTAATTAAATAAATGGAATGATCCATTCATACTCGGCAGGTATCCGATTTATTCTTTCTGGTCTTGTCCAGATACCCATGGGATAGTGTAATTCTGTCATTTCTGTTGAGGTCTGTGGAGCCGAAGCACAGAGTACTTGTTCGTTGGAACGCACGGGGCGATAACGATAGGACGGCGATTATCGGTTCCGACTTAATGGTGTCGCAGGTCAGTTCAGTTACGGTTGCAATCGGCGGGTCGACAACCCACTCACAACTTGATTGATTAAAATCATCGGGCGAAAATTGAATCTAATTTATGTTGACACCAGTATCTGCAACAAAGTCTAGAGTTGTAGTTTTAGATGGGTTGGCCCAAACGTCTGTGTACCAAAAAGGTCTAGAGCGGCGCGGGGAAAGAAAAATTGACGCATTTATTTCCCCTCGCTACATCTCGCTACGACTGAATACGAGGCACACCGCTGAAGCTATTTCGTGAGTTGCCTCCTGCTTGCCGAAGAGGTGAAGTTGAGATTGTACCCCCCCCCCCCTCCACCCCTCTGTTCGTCTGGCACCACTGTTGTATCCTCAACGGCGTTTGCGGTTCGGGGCGGTCCACTACGAAGGCCACGTCCACGTGGTGAAGCTGTCTTACGGAGAGAGCTCCTCACCAGAGTATTTGGATACTGCACTCGGCCAAAATGTCGCGGAAGTAGTAGTAGTTCCTCCCGTATCTCCTGCAAACACAATGGGGTGAAGCAATAGCCTAAGTAAACAGGCACTGCAGACACCCGCCTCGGTATTTACTCTCCTGAGTCCGCGCGGGTTTTTGAAGGAAGGGGCCGTGCTTGAATCACATGAGGCCTTTTGGGAGGGGGAAGGGGGTTGATGAAAAGTGATTTTTTGTATTCTGTCAGGTCGAGTGAATAATCCAATTATCATGATCACACGCCGATGTGCACATTGCACGTCTTCATTGTCTGCCGATTTTTCTTGCTGGGAATTTTCGTGCAACTTGTTATCACTCGGCCGATTCTTATTTTTCTTTCTGCTGGTTTTCTGGAGATGCACTTCTCTCCTTGCTTCCCGTTTTCACCACGTCTTTCGCCCGCCCGGTTCTCTCAATCTCTTATCAACTTCTTAATCGTTTTTTCCACCTTGCTTTGCTCTGCTTTCCTGATCTCGACCCCAGCTCTTCCCCACCCCCACTCTGGTGCCTTTCGCTGTAGTTTCTTCCCTGACTGCTGGGTCTGTCGAGCGTCCCGCAGAGTTTACCGTTGTCACGTAGGCGTAGGCCGCACGGCCGTAGCGTACTGTGCAGCTTAAAAACAAAAAGGTATGTTTTACGACCTTATCCCCCTACCCCATCAACCCCACCCACACTTTCTCCTTTTAATTGTTTGCAATAAGGGCAATAAGTCAGTTCGCCAATGACTCGTTCAAACTCTTTGTTGTTGTTTTTTTTTCTGAAAATTTTGTAAGGGTTCATTGAAGAATCACTTACCAAATTGTGTGTGCACTCAACCAGTTATGCGCAAACAGACATACTCGTGCTGCGAAGGAGTTTAGTGTTTTTTGACCCCTCCCCCCTTCTCCTCCCCCACAGGCGACCCTCACTGAATTTAGGGACCTTAATTTTCATCAGAGGACCCACTAATGGAAGTGAAAGGGCGCTTTTAGGAGGGGTCCACAATGTGAACCTGTCGCAGGGAAGTAACATTTTACCGGGTCAATGGGTGTTGACCCGTCTCAAGGAGTTAATTGTTATGACTAAAAATACATACGTTTCCGATATGTTCTGGTTACGTTCTGATGACCATGGACGACCAAAAAGTTATTCGAATGTGCGTGGAATGGCCTACTCGAGTGACTTTGTAGTTGAACGTCGAACTGTGTTGCAGCACTGTAGTTAACGTTCTCTATTTTATTGTACAATAAAACATGATTCGGTTTATTCATTTTGTAATTTATGCAAAATGGGATAAAAGCTCGGATAAAAAAGAATCCACGAAGAATAACCACGAAAAATGTTAGCCTCTCACGCCCACGCCCTGTCAGAAAATCTTCAACAAGCTCAGCTTTAATTAAACTTTATTTCATGGAAAGTTGTGACTGGTAAAGGGGTTTAAAGTAGTAGGGCAGCGAGTGCGATAACCTGGAAGCCTCGGTATCTCCTGTAGGTGCCGATCGATCCCTAATCGCATACATTTCTTTTTTGCCCGAGAGCTTGTTATCTGAGGTGAAAGTTATTTCTGGTCAATGCGGCTTTGGCAGTGGAAAAATCACCGCCTTAAATATTTTTTATACACGCGTTAAGAGTTGCGATTTTTCGCATATTTGGAGATGTCTGCTGTCGACGGAATTTTTCCAGCTTATGCGGCGCTACGCAGCCTGGGAGTTAGGCAACGCAAGGGCACAGGAGTAGAGTGGTTGCCTATCCCCAGTCTGGCAGGCGCGCTGGCCGGGTGCCTCCTCACCTTTGAGGAAAACAAAGACTGAGCTTGGTTCTAGATTTTGCACACTTGAACGAAAAAAGGCTTAAGATATAACTTGAGCACCATTCTCTTTTAGGCAGCGCCATGGAGACCATGACCCTGGGTTGGGTGGACCAGGCGGTGTTCGTCTTCATGCTGGCCATCTCCACACTGATCGGAGTGTACTTCGCGTACTGCTCCCCCGGAGGCAACATGTCGGCCGCCGAGTATCTGGTGGGAGGGCGTACCATGGGCACCATACCCGTCGCCCTGTCCCTCATCGCTAGGTACCTAGCTCATCTGAGTAAAGACGATGTACACATTTAGGGTTGTAAATTTACGGAAAATTTCCGAAAATTTCCAGAAAAAATCGGGAAACATCTAGGATCTGGGAATTTTTTTTGTTTTTTCCAGAAATTTGCCGTTTTTTCGGAAATTTCCCGGAAACTTTCCAGGGTTTCCGACCCCTATACACATTTGTTACTGACGATGCAAAAATATATTGTCGTCACATTGCGCAATGTATGGTAAGCTCTAACCCGTCGACCGGTCTGTCAGCTACATTTCGGGCATCACGCTCCTCGGCTACCCGGCCGAGACGTACGTGTACGGCATGCAGGTGATGTACAAGATGCTGTCGCTGCCCTTCATGGGCTTCTTCTTCGCGAGCCAGCTGCTGCCCGTGTTCCGCGACCTGGCGGGGATCTCGCTGTACGGCGTAAGTTTAAAAAAAAAACGGCCCTCATTTACCAAGTCACGCTATGGACTCTGCTTGCACAGTTAAAACCTTACGAGGCAAAATGCCAAATCCTTCGTACCCACGAAAAAATTTCTACCTACGAAGCTCCCAAATAATTCATCGCACCTACGAAGGAGCTGGCGTTTTCCTTCGTAAGGTTTTAACAGTGCAAGTATTTCATACTAACACGTACTTCTGTCTGTGTAGTACTTCTCCCGAAGGTTCAACAACAACGTCCGCCTGCTGGCGTCATGTCTCTTCGTTTTCGGCAATGTACGTACGTTTTCGGCGGTGACATTAGTGCACGAGTTAAGGCGCGCCCACAATAAACAAACCATTCCCCGAGGTGACGCGAAGGTAACGTGATAAACGTCCTCCTGGCCGTGCACCTGCGCGCTCTGGGCGGGCCGCCGCACTGACGCAGCTGCCTGGCGGGCTGGCCTACCCAGCGCGTAGCAGGCGCTCCCCTCGTGAGACGTTTGTCGCGGGGACACCTGCAGAGGCTGTCCGGGAGGACATACTGCATGCAGATATCCACCACACCTCCCGTGGACAGTGGGGCACTTTCATCACGACTCTCTTGTTAAATTCTATTTAGAGTTCTAGACAGCAAGGTGGTATGTATGTAGTAACATTTCACAGGAAAGCGCGCCAACTGCCCCAGTGTGCCCCATCCCATGAATTCTTATGGTGACCCAATGTGCCATGTTCCTGGGCACAGTGGGACAGGTGACACCTTTTTTGAAAAATCTCTTAACAGCCAAAGAGTACGAGAGAAAAAATCTGGACGCTATGGGATGTGATAGGCAAGGCAACGTATTCTAACGTGGAAGGTCACCAACCTAGAGCAAAAAGAAAAAAATCCGTCCCAATTTGCCCCACCTTCCCTTTGGTGATTTGTTGTAGATTTGCTGATTTGTTTGCAGATGTGCTGGTTACCCGTCGTGATTTTCGTCCCTGCCATGGCTTACGAACAAGGTGCAAATAATGCGAAAACGTTAAAATGTGTTCCCCATTCTTAAGGTTTCCGACCACCCGACCGTTACCTGCCCTCTGCTTACAGTGGCGCAGGTGAACATTCACTGGGTGACGCCTGTGGTGTGTGTCGTCTGCATCTACTACACCACTGTGGTAAGTGCGCGCGGACAACGGGCCACTCTTTCAGAATGAAGAGTGAGTGGTAAATTGAGTGTTTCCCGTCTCCAGGGCGGCATCAAGGCGGTGGTGTGGACCGACGCTGTGCAGGCCGTGTCCATGTACGTGTGCGTCGTGATGGTCATGGTGGTGGGGATTCTCAAAGTGGGGGGCCTTGGCGTCGTGTGGGAGCGCGGCGTGGCCTCTGGCCGCATCGAGCCACCCGTGTAAGTGATTGACTTCGTTGGACTGGAATAATACTCATAATGGATGTGCGTGCAAATAACTGGATGAGGTCCGCATCACCCACCAATGGTCGAATGCGTTGTTCCAGCGTGACCCTGGACTTGACCACGAGGCACACGCTCTTCACGATGATGGTGGGCGCGTTCATCGGGCACTGCGCCCACGCCGGGCTCGGCCAGTCCATGATCCAGCGCTACCTCTCGCTGTCCTCGAACCGCAAGGCCATCACCGCCATGTGGATCTTCATCGCCGGCATCTGCACCTTCTTCATCACCTCCTGCCTGGCGGGGCTCATCATCTCCGCCTACTACCACGACTGCGACCCCGTCCACGCGAAGGTCCTACACTTACCCCTGTGTGCGTCACATGCGACGTGTCCTCGGGAGGGGGTACAAATATCATGGGGTAGGGATCCCGTCGCAAAAAGGATCAGGACACTACCGTTGGAGTCTTTTTTTGAGGGAATGATCCATTGATATTTGTACCCCGGGGTAGAAATATCACGGGGTCCTTATGGACTCCAAGACCCCATTGACCGCCCTTGTCCTTTTAGGATCCCATAATATTTCGATCCCCTTCCTAAAAGTCTTGTGGTATGAGTGCGATCCCTTACCCTTGTAGTCAACGACAAATGAACCCCGTTTCTTGTTGCCAGAGCGTTTTCACGATTCCCTACTGCCTTGGCTATTGCAGATGGTGTCCAGGGAAGACCAGCTACTGCCGTTGTTCGTCATGGAGACCCTTAGAGACGTACCCGGTCTAGCCGGGCTGTTCATCTCGGGCGTGTTCAGCGCCGCCCTCAGCTCCATGTCCACATCCCTGAACTCCATGTCGGCCGTCATCATTGAAGACTGGGTAAGGAAATAAAATAATCAAAAACATCATTATTTTTTTGATTATATTCAACAAGCCACGATGAGTCATTGTGAGGGGAAAAAATAACTCACGTAAGAGTCCGTAAAACTAATTTGTTCATAAGGATTGAACGGTGCGGTATTTGGCATCGCTCTGACTGTCGATGCCCTTTCTTCGGTCGCAATAGGTGCGCGGGTTTGGGGGATACGAGCCCAGCGAGCGCCACGCGGCGTGGATCATGCGCGGGGTGGTCGTGGTGCTGGGGGTCATCACCGTGGGCCTCGTCTTCGTGGTGGAGAAACTCGGCATGGTGATGCAGGTAACAATCGATGATCGCTCAAACGCCGTGCCTGGCATGGCACACCGCCTGTGGCCCGGTGACATATATGCTTCCGCCGCTGTTCACAGCTGTCGTCCAGCATGGCGGCGGTGTCCACGGGGCCGCTGTTCACGCTGTTCATCGTGGGCCTGTTCATACCCTGGTGCGACACCCGGAGCGCGCTGTGCGGCGCCGTCAGCTCCGCCATGTTCACGGCCACCCTGGTGTTCGGCGCCGCGCGCGAGATCGCCCTCGGCCGGCTGCGCTTCCCGAGGAAGCCCGTGTCGGTGGACGGCTGCCTGGCGGCCTTCAACACCACGGCCGCCCCCGTGATCTTCGACGACTACGACAGGTAGACGGGGAACAGACGGAAGGAATTTAGAATTCTCCCATCGGTGGAAGGATAGGATGTTTCGTCCAGGGGGTCCTTCACTCAAAAGAATCAGTGTACAACCCCCCCCCTCAAAAAGGG